GAGAGAGAGAGAGAGAGAGAGAGACGACCGACGAGAGAGAGGCAGAGATGCAGAGAAGAAGAGAAAGCACAGAGAAGGCCTTTAACGGAAGATCACATCCTGCTTTAACATTTTGCAGAAAAAATGACAGTTCTGGACCCGCGAAATCCCGCTCCCCATTCTACTGCAACGAACCAGAAAGAAGCTGAATTTCTTGAACATCCAAGTTTCAAATGTTCAGCGTATTCTGGAAAAACTTAATGTAAGTAAAGCCACTGGTCCAGACGGAGTTAGCCCACATCTCCTCCGTTCATGTGCTGCTGAAGTAGCCTCTCCTCTAACACTCATCTTTACAGAGTGCTTCTCAGAGACATGCTGGCCTTCTATTTGGAAATCTGCAAGGATTGTGCCAGTCCACAAAAAGGATTCCAAATCAAAACCAAGTAATTATCGACCAATCTCTCTTTTGCCAGTCATTGCAAAGGTCTTTGAAGAGATAATCGTTCAAGAGTTGTGTGAGCACCTTGACGACAACCGATTGCTTTCCCCACGTCAGTTTGGCTTCGTAAAGGGAAAATCGGCATCAGACCTTTTACTGCTCCTCTCACACAAATGGAGTCAAAACCTTGACAATGGATACGACACTCGGGTCATTGCACTGGATATATCAGGTGCTTTTGATACCGTCTGGCATAATGGACTCCTTTCAAAAATCAAGAGCCTAGGGATAGAGGGAAACTTTCTGGCACTACTAAAGGACTACCTCAGTGATAGAAGCATCACTGTGGTTGTAGGAGGCGAAGAATCGGGAAGATACCCAATCAAAGCAGGTGTCCACAAGGCAGCCTCTTAGGACCATTAATGTGGAACATCTTTTTCGATGATCTACTCCAACAAATCCAGAAGCAGTGGCGTATGCAGATGACCTCACTATTCACCTGAGCTTCTCCAAAGGCAACGCCAACACAAAGCAGCTCAAGACTCCAGGGAATTATTGATATTGTATCAAACTGGGGTTCCTGTTGGAAGATAAACTTTGCTGCTGAGAAAAGCCAGTCCCTCATTATATCAAGAAGCAGGGACCGCATCACAAGAAACAAGGCTCTCTTCATGCAAGAACGCCTTTTACAAGAGCAAGATTCCATCAATATACTTGGAGTTACTTTCGATTTTAAATTGAATTTTGGCCAACACATCGAAAGCCTGGCTCGCAAAGCCACACAGAAGCTGAACGCACTCAGAAGGATTCTCCATCTCCTATCTCCAGAAGGTGCTCTACAGCTCTACAAATCACAAGTTCGTTCAGCACTGGAATATTCCTCCCTGGCATGGAACGGAGCAGCTCAAACGCATCTCAGTCTCCTGGACAAAATTCAAGACAGAGCTGTCACACTCATCGGTAGAACTGCTAATGAAGCTGACATAAATGTTGACGATCTTCAGCGTCGGAGAGATGTAGCAGGACTTACGGTCCTGTATAAGGCCCAGCACTTAGACGTCCCTCATCTGGCGCCACTCAAACAGCAGCCACGACGAAGCGCCCGTCGGACAAGGGCAACGCACCAGAACCCAGCTGCCCTCAGCCCGCCCACGGCGAGCACGTCTCATTTCCAGAGACATTTTATTTGTAGATATGTAAATTTGTGGAATGATATAAACAGCGAAAATGATATTCCATTTACATGTTCTATCCAGACTTTCAAATGTTTTGTAAATAGAATTCTATCATAAAAGTTCTTACGGAAATTCTGACAGGTTTTAGAATAGATGTTATAGCGACACTTCTTTAACCTGATAGATAAAGGGAATAACATAAAATTCCCTGGTATAAAAAAAAAAAAAAAAAAAAAAGGAAAGAGAGAGAGAGAGAGAAAGAGAGAGAGAGAGAGAGAGAGAGAGAGAGAGAGAGAGAGAGAGAGAGAGAGAGAGAGAGAGAGAGAGAGAGAGAGAGAGAGAGAGAGAGAGAGAGAGAGAGAGAGAGAGAGAGAGAGAGAGAGAGAGAGAGAGACAGAGAGAAGAGAGAGAGAGAGAGAGAGAGAGAGAGAGAGAGAGAGAGAGAGAGAGACAGACAGAAACAGCAGAGAGACAGAAACAAAGAAAGAAGAAAAGAACAGAATAGAGAGCTGAAAAGGATATCATGAAGTCCCCCTACTAACTCTTGGCGCCAGAGAGAATAGGAAATGAGAGAGAGAGAAAAAAAAAAAGAGAGAGAAAAAAGGTAGGAAACGAAAGAAAAAGAAAATGCAATAACAGTAAAATCTAAAACCAGCAAGAGCTAGACACGGACAGAGCCTCGTCGTCGTCGGTGACTGACTCCCCGGCCTCTTCACCTCCGGCCCGGCCGCCGATTTCCAGTGGGTCTCCGCTC